CTCTAATAGGCTCGACTGACACCCCCCCCCTTTCAATTATCTCAGACCAAAGCATTACATTTTCTTTAGAAAAACAATGAAAATTTTAGGCCAAAATTTTCATTGGTGAATCTTTATTTTTGAAGTAAGTTCATAGGAAATATTAATGATACAATCAGTTTAATAAACAAAAATACATGCAGGAAAATTGAAGATTTTTTCCCTCATTTTTGGAACAGTTATTAAAAGTATGAAGTTGACATAAGGATGAAGTCACTACTCATCATCCCACGGAGTGGAGAAATGGGAGTCAAGAGAAATGACAGGAGCATGGTCCGATCGGTCATCAATCGGTGATATGTTGATTTTCTCTAATCCATCTTCAATTTTATTATCAACCTGACGAAAAATGGATTTTTGCGTTTTCTTTAAATATACCCTGAAAGCTTGCGTAAGATTCAGCCCTAACCCCCCCCCCCCCCCCCNGGTGAGGCGCTGTAGGGATGTTAGAGACCCCCTCCCCCTCGTAGGGCGCTGTGAAGCTGTTAGAGACCCCCCCTCCACCCCTAAGTGCCTTACGTAATTTATGAATGGCCCCTTTGGCACAGTAAATTCTTGTCTCAAGTGTTGTGAGTCACTAACCTGTGGAATCCTTGGATGCACAGTTGAGCGGGCACTCGATGATCAACAATGTCTCTGGATCAAGGTTCGACTCCTTGTCAGGATTGCAAGTACAAGGTTTGATTTCATCGTTTCAATGTTAGAATCTTGCTCACACATGGATGACGTCTTTCCTCCTGAAACAACCTGTCGGGAAAAATAACATTGATATTACGAAAAGATAAAAAGTGAATAAGAGATAAGAAAGTTACAATAAATAGAATACCTGAGGGGTAAACGAGAGAATAAATTTTAAGAGCTCTTTTGCGGTAAGAAAATTATCGTTCAGTTACTCCTACTTCTTTTGGCAAACGAAAAGCTATGTATTATGATGAGCTGTAGCTCAAAATATGCTTGACCAACTGAATGCAAACGGAGTTAAGAAAATCAACACAAGGGCTGCCCCTTTCCGGTTAGTTTACATTCTGGGAACACGTCGCTGTTGGAGTTCATACTCTGATCTGTAAACCGCCAAGGCGTGATGTACATGAAATTTCTACTGATACTGTGTGAATAAACCTCTGTGGTGGATTGCAGTTCATTCTGGTTTTCATATCAAGATCGCGGCATTCAAAAACGTCAGTAATTTGAGGCAAAAGAAAAGCAAAGATTTTCCTTCATTCTCGCGAGATACCGCACGCATGACTGAATAGATGAGGGCAGTGGCGAGGCGTGAATGATCGATTATCGATAATCCCCCATTTAAAGTTCGGTAAAGAATCGATTATTTAGGTGTTCGCTGCGAACGCCCTGCCTATCGATCCTTTTCCATAGGTTTAAATGGCAGATCAATCGATACATCGCAAAGCACGCCACGCCACTGGATGCGGGTTCGATGTCCGCTTTGGCTATTGGCGCATTGATTCATTGAAAACTCTGCGAATTTTCGTGAACGTTAAAAAAATACGCGATTTATCCAGCGAATTTGAAAAAACGTACGATTTTCATCTTAGTATCGAAACTTGCCCGAGGGTTCTGTAAAAGCATAAAACAATACGCGTATTTTACCCCAATATCGCGGCAAATACGTGATTTGGTAACAGTTTAAGTAATGACGCATTATTCCATGCACTGAAAAAAAAGTAGTTAGCGTTGAGAACTAATTTGGTAAGTTCTCGCCAAGTAGAATCAAAATTAGGCTTCAGAACTAATTTATTGTACTGAAGCACCAATCAATTCACCTCATACGCTGACTTGACTTTACTAGAGCGCGAACCAGAATTGGAAAACAGCACTAGCTGTAAAATTAGCGCTGTGGTAAGACAAATTCACCTTCGGGTCAAACTAATTCGCCCTCAACACTAACTGCCACATTGTCCGTTACATTTATTTAGTTTCGAAAAAGTGGCGTCGGTACAACAGCCTCAATCGCGTCAGCTCGTGAAAATCAATTAAAATGTGAAATTTCGGGCTCGTTTGACAATGTAAATACTCCCGGTATGATTTATAGTGTCCTCTCTTTCTTGAAAACGTTCGAAAGCAACATAAATAAACCTGTTAAGGTTAGAAATCGTCTGTTCGATTCAAAACGTAAACAAGCATGATATTTGTTGGAGTCGTCAATCTTCTGTATTAAATTGCGATTAAAGCGTTCCGCGTTCAGTTTATATTTTACGAAAATCTGTGAACTTACTGCTTACTTCTATAGTTCGTGTTCTCCCGTAATTTCAAAAGAATATCTCAAGTGTTCGGACGAGATATGTTTATTCAGTGTGAACATTCGCTACCGTTTCATGTGTGAGTGTGTGTCTCTCTAAAGGATAATTCTGTCTACTTGCACATACCTATGGGATATTCCTTTCCTCTGTCGTTCATTTGGAACCGGTCAGTTGATTTTTACCTCTCATCATTTAAGAAATCTTCTTTTCCTGAAAGTATTGTCCAGTTATCATTCGCTAAGCCGTTTTCTCCTCTCTCAGTTTTGAGGTTAGGTTGACCCAACCCTACCGAATGCGAATTAGAGTAGCGGAATTAGTTCCCAGCACTAATAGTGGTTAGTGTACAGAAACCAAAAATCATGTATGTCCAAATCACACAATATGAGTTAGTGTATAGAAACCATTTTTAGTCATCTGACGCTAACTCATTTTTTTCAGTGTGGATGGGCTTTGTAAATTATTTTCACTGGCGTTATGCACGATTGCAGTAAATTTCGCAAAAAGTAAGCGCGCTTACGGTATTTTTCATTGCTATAAATGCACATTCAATAGAGATGTTGCATGTGTGAGGAATTTGCGATTTGGCTAATGATTCTTACGTAAGAGTTCGCGATAAACACGACGAAGCCACTGGTTTTCTCTGAAATCAACTCCCAAGCTCAAAAAAAGCTCTCAAGTTGAGGCCAATATGGAGGGGATATCCCACGCTATCCTGAGAGTCCACATCTACATCGAGACAAACTCTCCATGCAAAGATAGGGAGCGAATACATCTGCAGGATTGCCGTGTTTTCAGTTTTGGAGTCCCCAAATAAAGTGGCAGCCCTGTCAATGTATTTGCTCCCTATCTTTGCATGGAGAGTTTGTCTTGATGTAGAGGTGGACTCTCAGGATAGCGTGGGATATCCCCTCCATTTTGGCCTTAACTTGAGAGCTTTTTTTGAGCTTGGGAGATGATTTCAGAGAAAACCAGTAGCACCATCGTATTTTCCGCAAACTTTTACATAAGAATCAACAGTCAAATCGCAAAGAACCGCGCACAGAACATGGGGCCACCGGCTCTCGATGAAAGTCGATGAAACTTTAATAGATTCACATAAAGTTCATAATTAAGAGAAAGTAAAAAAATTAGCTCACTTTTGCGAATAGAAGCCTAGATATTCGCGATTGAACCTGGACTATTTTCTGTGCGGCGGAGGTACATTCTTCGTGTCGCCTTACCTTGCTAGAGCACTTCGGCCAGGAAACCCCCTCTCCCCACCGGGTAACTATGATGTCGCATTGTTTACACTCACTCCTTTCATTACCCTAGTGGAGGTGAACCTCATGCGGCGGGAGGTCTGCAGGTGGTTAACCATCCTCGGCGGGGACTAACCTCCTGCAACCTCCTGCTAACCTCAAGCAACCTCCCGTCGCATGGGGTGAACACCCTGTTCCAGGAAAAAACCGAGTAACCTCCCGCGAACCTCCTGCGAACCTCATGCAGACCTCTCGCAAGCCTTAGTTAGCTGCATGGGGTTGCAAGCCCTTGCAAGTGAGGTGATTAAGGCTTGCGAGAGGTCTGCATGAGGTTCGCAGGAGATTACTCGGTTTTTTCCTGGAACAGGGTGTCCACCCCATGCGCCGGGAGGTTGCTTGAGGTTAGCAGGAGGTTGCAGGAGGTTAGTCCCCGCCGCGGATGGTTAACCACCTGCAGACCTCCCGCCGCATGAGGTTCACTTCCACTAGGGTAGGACGCTCCGTTCGGAGTGTGCGATATGGAGTTCCCTGCTTCTCGCACCTCTCTCGTACCGCCGGCCGCTTTAATCTGAAATGTAGTTGCTGAAACAGAGTTGACAGATGCGGGTAACGGGAGGGAGGGAGTACGGCATTCGCACCGGCCGAGCGCATAAGCACCTATCTTCACATGAGTGACGTGAGGTCTGGTCGAGAACGCCGAACAACGAGAGGAAAGGAACAACGGAATTCTTTCGCCATGCTACGGCATGATAGAAAATAGTCCGGATTCAATTGCGAATATCTCAGTTTCTACTCGCAAAAATGAGCTAATTTTTTGGCTTTCCCGTGGTTATGAACTTTATATCAATCTATTAAAGTTCCATCGATTTTCATCAAGAGCCGTTGACCCCATGCTCTGTGCGGGGTTCTTTCCGGAAAACCTTCATAAAACTACAGGAACCTTTGTAAAACACATCGATTAAAAATAAAACATCAGTCGATGTGTGCAATGTTACAATCGGAGATAAATAAGCTTCTATTCGCGCGCAGCCGTCGGTATTTCGGTTCATCCACGGCAGGCGCAATGATACGACTATTCGACCACGGATGTAGGCATGTTGCAGCCAGCCGGATTGAAGGCGCGTCAAACTGCGAGGATCACGCAGCCGCGTTCCCTTCCCTGGCTGTCGTAACGCTGAAATCGCCCCAAACCTTAGAATACGCGTCATTATTTTCACTTTTTGCCCTGTTTTACTACAGTTAAATTGAAATATGTATTTACGATTCAAAAAATTTAACTGTATTTGATTCGTTTTTGGATTGAAGAAAATGGAAAAACGAGAGTACCGCGTCAAATCTTTCTATGATTTTTAGTTTTAAATCATATCAGAAAAATTCCGGAAAACCTTCAGAAAACTACAGAAACCTTTGTAAAACACACCGATTAAAAATAAAACACCAGCAGATGTGTGCAACGTTACAACCAGAGATAAATACCCGTTTATTCACGCGCAGTCGTCGGTTTTTCGGTTCATCCACGACAGGCGCAATGCTACGACTATTCGACCACGGATGTAGGCATGTTGCAGCCAGCCGGATTGAAGGCGCGTCAAACTGCGAGGATCACGCAGCCGCGTTCCCTTCCCTGGCTGTCGTAACGCTGAAATCGCCCCAAACCTTAGAATACGCGTCATTATTTTCACTTTTTGCCCTGTTTTACTACAGTTAAATTGAAATATGTATTTCCACTATAACGATTCAAAAAATTTAACTGTATTTGATTCGTTTTTGGATTGAAGAAAATGGAAAAACGAGAGTACCGCGTCAAAACTCTGTATGATTTTTAGTTTTAAATCATTTCAGAAAATTTCCGGAAAACCTTCAGAAAAATAAAGGAAGCTTTGTAAAACACACTGATTAACGATAAAACACCAGTAGATGTGTGCAACGTTACAGCCGGAGATACCGGGAACCGCGTTTATTCGCGCGCAGCCGTCGATTTTTCGGTTCATCCACGACAGGCGCAATGCTACGACTATTCGACCACGGATGTAGGCATGTTGCAGCCAGCCGGATTGAAGGCGCGTCAAACTGCGAAGATCACGCAGCCGCGGTCCCTTCCCTGGCGGTTGCAACGCTGAAATCGCCGCAAACCTCAGAATACGCGTCATTTTTTCACTTCTTGCCCTGTTTTACTACAGTTAAATTGAAATATGTATTTCAGCTATAACGATTTATTAATTTTAACTGCATTTGATCCGTTTTTGGATTG